GAAAGCACCAGCCTGAAGATGGCGAGTGGGACCTCATCAAAACGTCACCAAGATACTCTCAATCTTACACAGGAAAAGACCCGAACATGCCAAGACCTACACACACACACACACACAATTAAAAATCTATAATCCACTAACCAACATGTTGTTACAGTTACTGTTTGATAAGAAATGGGGAGACTCGGTTCAAATTACTATCCAGCCAAGAGGCTTATTGAGTGACTTTTGGACAGTCACTATCCTCTGAGATTCAACACCTACATTAGTGTTGTTGTGACAATAAAATTGAGAGTGGGAGAGAACAGTGCATACAGTACTGCCTTGAATTCATCCAAGGAAGGTGAACATCATAAAGAAATAATCTGAACATAGCCTGCTAATCTCTTATTGTAGTGTAAAGCAGTGGTGGGATTCAAATATTTTTGCCACCGGTTCAGTGGGTGTGGCTTGGTGAGCGCGCTTTGCATGCATACACACACTTTGCGTGCACATGTGTGCCAATCGTGCACTTTGCACTGTTTGCGCAGGCACAGAGGCATTCTTAGTCACCTCCTGCAAGCCTGAACAATCCCGGTCACTTCAGCAGCTGCCGCGCGACACTATTCTGTGCCAAGCAAAGCAGCTGCACTTCAAATTCAGCAGATAAAAGTGAGTATGGGAGCCCAGGCAGGCGAGTGGGCCCAACAGCAGAGCGGCGTCGAGAACCAATTCGGTCTCCACTGCTCATCGCTGTTACCGGCTCGCCAGAACTGGGCCGAACCGGTCAAATACCACCACCGGTGTAAAGGCTTTTTGTCAATTTTGGGAAACACCCAGCCAGGCAGGGAGGAGTCCTCAAATGTGGAATTAGCCTGGAATCCTGGTGCAGCCGCAAAAGAACTGACAACTCTCCTCACCCCAAGCTCTATGGAGCCTTATTTATCTGTCCCCAGGCAAAACCTGGCAGTTTGGGGAGATTCCTGCATAGAGGTATTCCTCAATTACGACCACAATTGAGCCCAAAAATTCTGTTGTTAAGTGAGACATTTGTTAAGTGAATTTTGCCCCATTTTACGATCTTTCTTGCCACAGTTGTTCAGTGAATTGCTGCAGCTTGATAAGTCAGTAGCCCAGTTGTTAAGTGAACCTGGCTTCCCCATTGACTTTGCTTGTCAGAAGGCTGCAAAGCGGGATCCTATAACCCTGGGACACAACAATGGTCATAAATATGAGACAGTTGCCAAGCATCTGAATTTTGATCCCATGGTCAAAAGGGGCTGTTAAAGGTAAGAACTGTGAAAAATGGTCATAAGTCACATTTTTCAGTTCCGTTGTAACTTTGAACGGTCACTAAATGAACTATTGTAAGTTAAAGACTACCTGTAATAGGCAGCATGTAATAAAGTAGACAGCTTGAACTCTACATATGTTGATCTGTTGATTGTCCTGACAACAGCCTTCCTGTTATTGTAGCCTTGGAAAGATCAGAAACCAAAAATTTATCAAGGCCCTTTTCAGCTAATTTAGATAGCTGAGGAACTACACGAAGTCTAGTTTCCATGAGAAGAGGAATTTCTTTTCCAGTCCCTCTTTGACTTCTCTCTTCCTTCTTTTGCACTCACCTTTCTAATGGCACGAATATAGCTAAGATCAACCAAATATAAGTTTCATTTGAACTGCAAATCACGTGTATTTCTTGCCTGTTTGATATATGGCTACATAAAGTGTTTGACTTCAAATACCAGAATTTATGAATCCGTTAAGTAACACATTTAGATGTAGCGATCCATAGTGCAACGATAGCTTCCTTCTGAAAGCCTACTGACTTTAATGGGACTTGCTTCCACATATGTAAAGGATTGAAAAATCTAATTTACTAATTTCAGTACAGAAATATTATTCATATTCAGACTTAATCAAATTTTGATTTGTACTTATTTTGCATATAAAAATAGCTGACTAATGCAAACTTACATGTCAAATGATAATTTTCTCTGGAGGTTAGTCTGATTGTTCTGAAATCTGTTCACATCTAATTGAAGCTTTTCACATTTCCTCTGCAATGTTTTCAAATTCTCTGCAGCATTTTTATTTTTAATAAAAGAGGAAAAAACAAGGTATGAAAGAGCAAAGGTGTTTTTTTTCACTAATAAGAGATTGGTCCATAATCATTAGACTAAATAAAACCTATTTTTTCAGTCTTGCCAGACCTATTCTATTTATCTGAAAGAAAGGTCCACTTTATTTCCATATGTTTTAGACTGCAGCCTTAAAAGTATAATTGCATGATTCTCTTCCAACTTTCTCCTCAATTAGTTTTTATCTCCCTCCCTCCCTCCTTCCTTCCTCTTTTTCTTTTTACATAACAAAAATGGATATTGGAATAGTATCCTTCATATGCATTAAAATATGAACAATCCTCAGCATCACTCACACTTCTGAAGAAGCCTTTAAATAAAGAATATTATTTGCTTCTGTCCTGAAAACCAGTAAAGACTCAATATTTCCAATTACTTCAATTTTTTGTTCACGATTTAAGCTTCTAATATTGTAACAATTTATGACTTAAGTCCTAGTATCAATATTGTTTTGTATAGGGGTCTTCAAACTTGACAGCTTTAAGACTTGTGGACTTCAACTCCCAGAATTCCTCTCCAGTCATGTTAGCTCAGGAATTCTGGGAGTGGAAGTCCACACGTCTTAAACTTACCAAGTTTGAAGACCCTTGGTTTAGTAGGTTGATATTTTATTTTTCTGGACACAACTGTTTATCTGTACACATTCCACATGCTTTTCGCAGGAAGCCATGGTGACAAGACACATGTAAATGACATGAATTACACAATTTGCATGAATTGCATTATGTTATATAATCGTGTTATTTGCATGAGGTCACAATGCATGAGACATGACTTGCTTCCTAGTATCTCCTGCTGATATCTATTTGGAACCATATCAATATATCACAAATTCTTTTTCTTTTAAGGAATAAACAAAGAAATAGATGATCCTTCAAGAATGGCCTTGAAACTCTTTCTTCAAGCATTGTAATTCAAGTTCCTTTTTTCATCCAATTATAGATCAGGCTTACATTCTAAATCTATATTCTCTGGTTGTCCTTTTTTTACTGTTTCGGAATGGAAAAAAAATATCAATAAATACAGAATAAAAGTTGCAATGATGATACTTTACTGAGATTTACCTTGAAGATTCTGGATCAGTTGATCATTTATTGTGATGTTATTTAATAGTATTTCCTAGAATAAAGAAAAAGGGGAAGTTTCATGGTTGAAAAATATCAGTTGGATACATCCTTAAATCATATTTAGAGTACAGTGTCACATAGTTAATTTAATAGAACGATATTGAAATAGTTTCCTCTGCCTGTAACTATGTCTAGATTTCATCTCAAGCCTTCAACGTTTAATTTTTACATTCTCCTATTATTATATAAATGTTAACTAATCTTGGGAAGTGGCATTTGTTTCTTTTTGCAACAGATTATAGTCTGGGTATGTTCTTCAGAAGCCTGTATTGGAATATTACCAAAACCTTGATTTCATTTTGAAGAAAATCAAAACTGCATTTGCTCATCATTTGATCTCAATTCACTTCAAATAACTTACAATTAACTCCACCAATATTTTCTTCTTCCACACTGTAAAATATCCTGAATCAATTTTATTTCTAATTACATTATTCAGCTACACATTCTCTACATCATTCATTTACAGTTGCCAGCTCTGAAGATTATATTACAAATAAGATGTGACACAAACTCAACATTATTAGACCTGAACAAATTTAACTCAGGCAAGGGGGAAAATAATCAAATAAAAAATATGTATTGCATGGTCTGCTTTTTTATTATGGCCTAATTTTTTAATATATCTTTGTTCGTGTAAAAAAGAAAAGACATATTGTTATTACAACTAGTATTTAGTTATCTTATAAAGCAAACCTGTCAACAGCTGTCTGCAATTTGTGGTCTAGCTGGCAAGCAGATGGTACAAGACTACTTCCTGGAAATGTTCTGCTTAAAATCTGTGTAAAATTGTCTAGACAACTAATTTAGAAATGAATAAACTTTCTTCAACTAACACATCTGTATTTGTAAGAGCTTTATGTCACAGTTAGCATTAATTAATTGTGAGCTGTACTGGATTTCTATGTAAATTCAGAAGATACAAAAACAGCATATTGATCATTTTTATTTTAAAAAGCAGATTCTAGCTTAATCTATGGGGTAGAGACTTGTGAAAAATGCGAAAGCCCTATCTGAAAACTGAAAATTACATAAGCATTCCAGCCTGTGTTAAAGATAAGGCAGATTTGCCAGTAGCCATAATTCAAAGCCACCTGGTTTTTGAAAGACTATGCCTATCTGATATACTCTGTATTTAAGGTTAGTTTGATTAAAATTATGATAAAGGAGCAGCAATGTTTTGTTGACTTCAAGGAAATGAGAAGAATGCTCTGTGGGTCAAGATCATGGCTAGGGAGACTGCACAACCTTGGCTGGGCCACCAATTGTAGACCTTCCTCAAGCAACAGCTCTAGGTGACCATAATACATGTTCCATCCCAATTTTGACCGACTGCTAGAATTTTGCATGTGGCATTTTGCAAAAGTTGCCCTTGAAGGCTATCTGGAAGCTGCAACTGATGCAAAATACAGCAATTCCTAACCATTCAACATCAGTTTTGTTGCACAGTACTGGTTGCCGGTGCACTTCCATGTACAATTCAAAGTGCTGGTTATTACCTATAAAACCCTTCATAGCTTAATGCCAAGATTCATTCAGGATCATTTCCTTCTGATAGAATCAACTTCCCAGGCAGTGCATCCAGAGTTTGATGATGCTATGCATTTCCCTACATGAATTAATGATCTTTGGTAGTGGCTCTATCCCTTTGGAATTCCTTTCATTAAGTATTTTATTTTATTTTTTTGATGTAAATTCTATGAACTGTTAGTTTTACTGGAGTGGAAATGATTATAAGAATTACTGTTTTTTTAAAGTATTCTAGTTTTCCTGTGTTTGCAATGGAGTAAACTAGAGCTTACAAATTTAATCAACAAGAAGGAAGAGGGGAAATAGTTCCTGTGTTTGCAATGGAGTAAACTAGAGCTTACAAATTTAATCAACAAGAAGAGGGGAAATAGTTAAATAAGTTATTTTTGAAGTTGTTAATCTAATTGGTTGATAAATTCAACATGGATAACTGATTCACATTCTCTGCAACATGAAAAACAGATTTCATGTTAGAATCCTGAATTCCCACGCTATTGTCATAACGTCTGCCGAATTATCCCTAGAAACTGTATGTTAATTTTTATTAACAAAGCCTTTTCCTTTATGAAAGAACAGACAATGTTAATAGAACATTAATATAAAGTCCAAAAATGAGAAGCAAAAAAATTCTACCTTTTCACCTCTGTGTATTTTGTTGATATTTTCTATCTGGAAACCATGCATAGATTGAATTTTGTCAATCTGTTCCCTCTGTTTCTTTAGTTCTCCTTGGAATTCATTCTTTTTCATTTCTACAGCACCTCTTTCTGCAGCTGCCCTGCGCATTCTGCCTTCTAATTCCATTAAACGATTCTAAGAGGAAAAGATTTGGAAAAAAAAAAATCTCCATATATACAATACATATACAGTAGTTATACCTTTATCACAGTTGCTGACCAGATTAAGTCTCTCCAATATACATGAATAATTAGATTTTGTTTTTCCTTTCTGTATCTTCAAAACAAGTCCAAAATTATATTTATTTCTCTATATGCACATATAGAGAGATTACTATGAAATGCTTATGAATTCTTTAATTCACTAGCTGAACAGGAATCACAGAATTTGAAAATGTGGATAGAGGAAGGATGGTGAGAATAATGTTCCTTGTAGTTTTGGATCCTCAGGATAGTACAGTAATTGTGAGGAAATACATTAATTGGCTCAGAGAATAGAATTCAGCTGCTGCTAGCAGAAACCGATGGAGAGAAGGTAAGGGGCCAATCTGGAGAAGTCTCTTTTTTTGGTTGTTGCATTAATAGACTCGTTGCATTTCAATAGAGTTATCCAATCTAGTAAAGGAGTGCCTTAACAGCTGTAAAACCAGCTCTGCAATATTTTCCCAACTTTCATCTTTGATCTGGGGCAAGGTGAAGATATTTGTGGGGGGGGAAAATTAGTTGGCCTCTATTTCCTCTTATTTGAAAAGAGTGATTAATAAGCTTTTTCATGGGAACAGGGCCAACTTTCTATACACATATACACACCTCTTACAGCTAAGAATAATTGCACAACTTTATTTTAATACATTTACCCAACTATTTCAAATTTCATTGTATTTGTAGAATGCAATGACAATAAAGGTATTCTATTGTATTAAAAATGCACCACGTATATGGGTCATACACTCCAGCCACAATCCAATGACTTTTTTAGCAGTTCAAATGCTATTTATGTCTGCCTGAATGTTTATATTTAGCAATGGGAATACAGAATGGGAGACTCTCTGAGTTACTATGAAATGTGATCTACTGCAACCTCTGTGAAAAACTGATATGATGCTTCAGGAGGATAAAGAGCTCCAGAGAGACACTGCCATTGAACACAGGTAGATCTGTGCACTCTTAAGAGGCAAAATGGGACAAGGATTGGGGTAGCCAAAACCATGAGATAGCAGAACCAAGAAGCTTACAATTAATTCCATATACTGAGTTAAAATAAGAAAGCTGCTGGCCTGTTTGCATATACTCATAACATAAAATGTGCAGAGTAAACTGAAAATGGTCTTTTCAATCATATAAAATTAATCTGAAGTCATGCCCAATAGTATTTTTTTAAGGCAGCAGCCAGCATTGTGCAAAGTTAAAGGTGCCAAAGGTATTTGAAAAATGAACAGTAAATGGTGAGACGCTCATGAAACATTAAATGTCAATACAGAGATATTTTAAGATTTGACTGTCCCATGAGATTTGGAAAAAATGGCAGAGGTCAATGAATGCTATCTAGTGACGTCTTTGATACCACAAGGCTCAAGAGCACCATGCTGCTTATCCCTGGTATAAAATTACATTTCCTAGTTGAACAGGATGCAATCTTTTCAAGGTACTTTCCTTCTTCCTTATTTGCTAATTTGCCAAATGTTTGTCAGATATCATTACTCTAAAGTGCATTGTAATCTTGAGATAAAAACCAACATTTTAAAATAAAATATACATTGATTCACTCATTGTGAAAAACCAACAAAAGAGCAATACCTGCAAATCAACACTACGGGAACTTGCTATCCAGTAATTAAATCCCAGAACAATTATACAAGCCACAAGCGCTGCTACTAGAAGAGGTGGTGATTTTATCCCACGACGACTGTTTCCTAGCCCAACCATCTTAAAGCTACAGATTTCTGTTGGTTTAAAAAGAGAAATGTTTATATTTACCTTTGCTGATTAATGAAAATTTCCAAGCAATTAAAAAAAAAACTTGCCAGTAACAGTATCTGCTCAGAAGATGCTTAAGGCTTGATGAGTTAAAAAATGTGTGTGTATACATATACTGTATATCTATATATCTCCATAGGAAAAAACACAATAAACATATAAAAGCATAATAATCGATGTTTTATGACACATTTTAACAGCAGCAACATAGAATTTAATCATAATATTGTAATCCAAATATTAGAGTCAGAAAGTGGAGCTTTCTGTAATAAATATCTGTTTATCCAAAATACCATCACAGAAAAGGTGAAATAAAAGAATTCCATTTGCTCTTGTATAAATTGCAATGCAGCATTACAGGGAGAAGGATTTCAGTTTGTCCAAATCAAAAGTTCATTTGGATTAGAGGATTTTGAAATGTCTGCCCAGAAGAAGAGCCGATGATTATGCACTCTGTTGTGCTCAAACAAAGTCTTTTCTGAGGAACCTTTATGGGAACTCTCTAAGCTTGTTTTCTTGCAGACCTTTCGCTACTTAAACTAGATAACATCATCAGTGTTTCCCAGTGTTAGTAAGGAATGTTGTTTGTTCTGTTTATATTCTAGTGCAGGGGTGTCAAACTCACATCATCACGGCGATGTCACATGATGAATCGGGACTTTCCCCCCCCCCTTTGCTAAACCGGGCGTGGGTGTGGCGTGACACATTTGGGCTGGGAGTTTGACAGCCCCATTCCAGTTGCTTGCCATGTCAATGTCGGTGGGGGCAGTCTTGGAGATTCTTTAGTTGGGCTTACTGTTGGTTTCTTTAGCAGTTTTTCTCAACCTCAAGGACTTTTCTCAAGTTCTTTCACACACTAGGGGATGTGGGAGATGAGAAATATTTGGTTGGCCCTCAAACTTCTCTTAAAATCCTCACTTTGCTTTTAGGTGATGTCCTATCATCCGCCAGTTGGTACTCCATATGCTTTGAGTGAGTACATGTCTGGCCTTTTAATAACCCAGGCTAAGAAGGAACCAACCAAAAGGTCCCAGTTTGAGCGCTACAGCATTCTTCCAACTTGGACAATGCTCCTCTGATAATACAAGGCAAATAGGCTGATGCGGAAGAACTGAATATGTAGCCAATAACTGATAGACATGCCCACCACAATTCACAGAACAGTGTTGGCTACACATCTTAGGGAAGCAAGAATATTTTTCAAAAATTTCATTTCTATCAGTTTGATAGTATTCTTCATGGCATCAATTCCCACATGTGCTCTGTATAGGATTTGACATTATGAGATTTACTCTTTCCAATAACAAAACCGGGAGCTATGCTTCAAACTTCATTAGTTGCATTGTAAGGTTATGTAGCATATACTCTGGATCTGCATATAATACAGCTCTATAACATTTTCCTACCCCAATACAGGTATTTATTTGACCTGGTCTTAGGATACACTACAACTGTTAAATATCAAAAAAGTGAGACTTGGCAATTACTGACACTTTGAATTAACATCTGCCAAGTTTTAATGAGATTTTGATGTTCTTGCACTATAAGATTTATATGATTGTTTGACATTAAGCAGGGCTACCCAGTGTGCTATTATAATCTGCTATTTATAATTTAAGCAACCCCTTGAATAGCAATAGCAATAAGACTTATATACCACTTCACAGTGAATTAAAACCCTCTCTAAGCTGTTTATAAAGTCAGCATATTGGCCCCAACAATCTGGATCCTCATTTTACTGACCTCTAAGGGATAGAAGGCTGAGTCAACCTTGAGCTCATGAGGATCAAACTCCCGGCAATCAGCAGAATTACCATGCAATATTGCATTCTAACCACTTTGCCACCAAACTCCTTGTCTCTTTGCTTTCAGGCATTCATGTTCAAACAACATAATCAACTAGTCTGGCTAATGTTTTACTTGGGAAATGGTCGTAGTGAGTCATATTACAGGAAGTTAGCCAATGGTCAACAGTGGGCTTTCTACCATTCCTTCAAAGGTACGCACAGCCAGACAGTTCCTGGCAAGCAAGTTATTTCATATGCACAAGTCCAAAGCAGAGCAACTTATTTGATGCAGAGACCAGCCAAGTTACTTCAGATTCTTTGCAGCACTTGGTAATAAAGGGGTCTTTAATATTTCTTCCTCAGAGCTATGCTAAGCTTCTCAAAAAGAGCCTCATTGTTAAACTCCATCCTAGCATTTAGATCAGAAGTCCCCAACCTTGGCAATTTTAAAACTTGTGGACTTCAACTCCCAGAATTTTCCAGCCAGCTATGCTATGTTGGCTGGAGAATTCTGGGAGTTGAAGTCCACAAATCTTAATCAGCCGAAGAGAGAGGGGATCCAGATTTGGGTTTGGGGGTATCGCAAACCCCCTCCCCAGCCGGCAAAACCCCTTTTTCCCAAGGCGGTGGAGCGGCAGTCAGCAATAGCCGCCACAAAGAAGCCTGCAGCCGGGTAAGATTCGTGCAGGAGGAAGTAGGTGAAGCGAAAGTTTTGGCTGAACCGGGACTACAAGAAACTTTTAAACACCCTGGAAACTAAATCGTTTGAAGGATACATTGTCTCCCAAGGAAGATTGTAAAAGGCGGAAGAAAGCTGAAAGGGAAAGTTACTTTCTTTCACTCTCCCTTCACACAGAAACAGCAGAGGGAAATCTGGAAAACCTGCTTGGGCATAGAAGGTAAACTTGAAACTTAAAGCCAAGGGGATAAAGGATTTCTGGACATTGGAATTAAAAACTTAAAATTCTTTTTATTTGCTATAAGTGGAAGGGAAGAGGTAAAGATTTATTTTAAGATTGTACTGAAGGAGACTGCTTTGAGTTTACAAGACCAGAAATAAAAGGTATTACAACTTCTAGAAGACTATTTTGGAACTGTGTATTTGAATTCTACCCAAGGAAGAGAAAATATAGAAAGAACAAAGTGCTATATGAAACTGTTTGCTTTGATTTGGTTTGCTTTGTGACTTTGGGATTTTTGTGAAATATTTTTTGAAAGATTAAAGACATTTGGGTTGTTTAAAAAAAAAGGGGGGGGGAAATGGCATTATCTTTTGAAGAACTACAAATGGAATTTCAAAAATTGAAAGAAGAGGAACAGGAAGGCATGGGCTCTTCTGGATCTGTTTTCCACTTTTTAGAAATGGCGATTTCTACCTATCAAGAAATACAACAGTGACAGGAAAGCTGGGATGAAGAAGAAGCCATCTTTAATGGACAGATACTCTTAGTGGAGGAAGAAAAGCGTAAGGGGGGGCAAAGAAATGGTGAACTCAGGACTTAAAAAAGCAACCAAGAAAAAGAAAAATAAGATGAAAAATCGATATGATGTCAGAAAGCAACAGAAAAGAAAAATACAACAGAGAGGGAAGATTAAGAGAGTGAAATTTGAGAGATGGGGGGGTCAAAAAGCTAGAATTGATAAGAAAGGAAGGGAAAAAGGAAAGAGAAGTCATAAAAGCTTTAAACAAGATGTTAAAAAACAGGTTTTTTTCAGAGATAAGGGGTAAGATATAATTTTATAAAAATGATTCTGCAAAGGTACATAAGATTGTATGGTAGATACTAGTATTTGAAATTGAATTAGAAAATTAAAATATTATATGAATTAATAATGCATTAAAGGGAAGCTATGAAAATGTTTAAGTTTTGATAATAGAGTTTAATTTACTATGAAATATTGTTCTTATTATATTATAAACTCAATATTCCTTTTTTTTTTGTTTTAGTATTACTTATTAAATTTAATATTATTTGCTTGTTTTATCATTTTGAAATGTAGTACTTAGAATGTATGAAGCAGAATCAGTATGGAAAGTATGTATTATTTTAAGTGTAAAATTTAGGGGAAAGATAAAAAGTTGTCATACTTCAACCAGTGGTTACAGGAGAAATATTGTATTAGAAAGAAAGGAAAAATAGATGATTGAAAGAGAACGGACAAAAGATGCAAGCATAATTATTTAAATTGAGATGAAATAAATAAAATAGAATTAAAAGAATGAATAGGAGAGAGAAAATATATAGAAAATATAGAATGTTAAATAAGATATGAAATAGTATATTACGTGAGCACGAATTTGATTTATGTCTGTATAAAAAGATTTAACCCGGGGTAAGCCCCTTTCCAAAAAGAAGTTTTATGTATTTATGTTTTGTGTAATGTTTGTTTATGTTTGAAAGGATGTTGGAAGAGAATTAATGAAACTATATATAATGAATATATATAATTTAAGGCAAAAGAAATACAATTAAACAGAAGGAAAGGGAGCAGTAAGGAGAAGTTGGGAAAGGATATGAAGTTGAACAGATAAGATAAATATATATATTAAATTGTGTTTGTATAGAAAAGTGATAATTTGGAATTATCTTGTTTTTAAATAAGATATTATATGTGTTTTTTTAGAAAAGATATTTTATGTTACTACATCCTATGTTTTGTTTGTTTGTGTATTGTTTTTCAAAAAAAAAAAATTAATAACATTTGTTTAAAAAAAAAAAGGAATAAAATTTACAATGTAAGAAGAAAACAACACACTACCTTTCCTGGATATCCTTATCAGCAGAAGCAGTGATGGCAAATTAGAAACACGGGTCTTCATAAAACTACCCAAGCCAATCAACTGTTCCACCACCAAAGTAACAACCCAACCTCTCACAAGAGAAGCTGTATAAGAACACTGCACAAACACAGTGCAGAAACCCTGAACATCAGCAAAAAGGAAATAGATCATCTATACAAGATCTGCCAACAAAATGGATACCCACACAATTTTATCAAAAGGTGTCTGGTCACTCAACTCAATATAACAAAACGAACACAAACTGTGAAAAGGATAATCTTCAGTGATGGTATTCTACCGATTCAGACTGGTTCTGCCGAGCCGGTAGTGGTGATGAGCAGCGGAGATGGAACCGGTTCTCTCTGTCGCTCTGTTGTTGGGCCCACCCACCTGTCTG